ACTGGTGCACTGGTCACCTAACACGTGAAAGACTTAAACTAGCAAGAAATGAAATGAAGGCCAAATAATTGGAATTCGGAATTTGCTAACCACCGGCCCTGAGATAGCAGGATACCAAGAATTCACACTGCCCCTCCTTTTTCAGTGGTCAGCAGGTGGTGAATAGGGTCCTTAGGAAACAAAGAGATAACTGCACCTCCGGTTTGCCCAGACAAGATTAATTAGCACACCAGAGGCCCTAAAGTCTGTTGACCCTAACAGCTAGACCAGCCAGCCTCAAAGGGTCATGTACTCAACGGACAGAGGGTCACACCCTCTCCCTAAGCTTGTAAGTTTTGCCTTTAAAAATGCCTGTGCCTGGGGAATGATGCTTCTCTCTAGCCTGCGTGCTGAGGGAGCCCATTTGTGCAAATGTTTCCTGTTCATTAAAGCCTCTTGCGTGTTGCAACAACTGGACTGGACATTGAGTTCTTGGGGGGTACCGACTGAAACTGGGAGACTCCTCATTCTGAGGGTCTTACATACGCATGATGTCCCAAGTTCCATTCCCAGTACCACACAAACAGCTATGGTGTTGCATAGCTCCAAAGTCATCTTCCTACTTAGTGAGTTTGTGAGTTTGAGGTCAGCCTGAGCTACACAAGACTGTTACTCAGAAGAAGAAAAAATGCCCAGGGTGAGGTGAGTCCTGTGACACAGATCTGCACAGGGAGGCTGAGGCATAGGGCTGAGAATCGGAGGCTAGCCTGGCTATGCAGACAGCAGACAGGAGGAGAGTTAATTCTGGATCACAGTTTCAGAGGGGTCTCTTCCCACCATGGTGGGAAAAGCAGGGCACAGGTCTTCTGTCTGTGCCTGCCAGAACATGTGGAGACAGTTCACATCACCATGGGTCAGAGAACAGAGAAGGAATGTGGCTAGGGTGACTAGCCATCCCCCAGTGACTTCCTTCTGTCTCCTCAAGTGTCATCAACTTCCCCAAACAGCACCACCTGCTGGGGAGCAAGAGCATGTGCGGGGATCATTTTAGATTCAAATGCTAATGGCTATATATGGTAAATAAAACCTTAGATGGGGTGGTGAGATGGCTTGTAGGTAAAGGTGCTTGCTGCCAAACTGGATGACCTGACTTTAATCCCTGGGACCCACATGGTAGAACCGATTGGCACAAGTTGTCCACACTTATGGTGTGGTATGTGGGAGTCCCTCCAAAATAAATATATGTGGCATGGTGGCTAATGCTTTTAATCCCAGCACTCAAGAGGCAGAGGCAGGCAGATCTCCGTGAGTTCAAGGCCAGCCTGGTCTACAGAGCAAGTTCCAGAACAGCCAGGGATACACACAGAAACCCTGTCCCAAACAAAGAAAAAACATAACAAAATGAAAACACAGAACAAATTGTGTGTGTGTGTGTGTGCTACAAGCCAGAGATATATACCTGTTGTCTTTCTTAATTACATCCACGTTACTAATCTATTTTTTGGCATTGCTGAGGATTGAACTCAGGGTCTCCAAGTAAGAGGCCAGCACTCTAATACCCCAGTCCTCTGCATTGTGTTTTGAGACAGCCTCTCTCTGAACCCAGGGATGGCTTAATGGCCAAAGAGCTTCAGGGATCCAGCTGTGCCTGCCTTTCCGGAGCTAGGATTGCAGACACCAGTAGCTGTGCCTAGCTTTTCACATGGCTGTAGGGAATCTGAACCCATAGCTCCATATGTGGTCAGCAGGTACTTTATCCAATCCACTGAGGCATCTGGATCCGCCCACGTCTCCTGGACTAATATTTTCGTTTTTATATATTTTTTAGATTTATTTTCTACGTGTTTTGAATGCAGGCATGTGTGTGCACCATGTCCTTTGTGCCTAGTGCCTCAGAAAGTCAGAAGAGGGCATTGGGTCCCCTGGAACTGGAGTCACAGTTTGTTGTGAGCCTATGTGTGTGTTTGTGTGAGTGATGGCAACCGAACTTGGGTCCTCTGCAAGGCAAGTGCTCTTAGCTGCTGAGTCATATCTTCAGCACCATGATTTTGTTTGTTTGTTTGTTTGGTTGGTTGGTCGGTCTGTTTTTCAAGACAGGGTTTCTCTGTGTAACAGCTCTGGCTGTCCTGGAACTCACTTTGTAGCAATCAGACTGGCTTTGAACTTACAGAGATCCCCCTACCTCTGCCTCTGCCTCCCAAGTACTGGGATTAAAGGTGTGTGCCATCACTGCCCTGCCAGCCTCACGAATTTATGTTACATGGATTTCAGTTCTGGTTAAACCTAAGTGTCAACTTCACTATGGAAGTTCTGAACAAGATGGTTCCATATGGGCCAGATATGGCTCACTGGGTAAAGAGGTTTGTTAAGTTTGATTATGGAACTCACATGATAGGAGAGAGCTAACTTTGGAAAGTTATCCTCTGTCCACTTCCACTGTGACATGTGTGCTTGTGACACACACACTAAGTGAATTAGTTTATAATGATTTTTTAAGTTTTTTTTTTAAAGAAAAAAAAAGTCTCTGCATAGCTAAGCTGTGAAGGAGAAACAGATCCGCAGGGTTACATGTGAGAGCACCTGTCCTCTGTGTCTGACCCTCTCACATCGTATCAGGGCCACTAGGCTTAGGGCACCTCGGCATACACACTGGAGTCCTAGCAGATACTGTGAACTCTTGGCTCGTTCAGAGTTAGATACCAGTTAATACAAAACAAAAATGCTTTTGAGTCAGGGATTTCAATTTTGTAAAGAGCACCTGTATTTATTTCTAAAGTACGTGTGTAGATTCATGTTTTTAAAAATGGTTTTGTTTTGTTTTGAGGGTTGATTTTTATTGGGGCTCAGAGCTCTTGCTACTCTTGCAGGGGTCTAGAAGACCTGAGTTCAGTTCCTGTACCACAAGCACCTGCAACTCCAGCTCCAGGCATTTGACAGCCACATACAAACGTAAAACATTTACTTTTAATTTGTGTGCGTGCGTGGGGGGGGGCAGTGTCCATGGCAGCCAGAGAGGACATGTGATGAGTGGGAGCTGGAGTTATAGGCCACGGGGCTGCCTCATGTGGGTGCTGTAAACTGTACCCTGGTCTTCCGCAAGAGCGATAAACTCTTAACCACTAAACCATTAAAAGACACTAAAATATGTAATGTGTTTATGCATGTATGCTAGGGTGAATGTGGAGGTTAGAGAACAACCTTGGGAGTTAGTTCTCTTCCATGTGATTCGGAGATGGAGCTCAGGTCGCCACCAAGTGCTTTTACTGAATGAGCAATCGCATGAGGGTTGTTTTGTTTTTAGACAAGGTCTCACACCATAGTTTAGGTGTCCTCAACGTTATTTCTCCTGCCACAGAATCCCAAGGGCTGAATGGCACAGTGCTTTTCCATATAACCATCAAAATGAAATCGATTTGTTTCTATATTTGTAAAATTACCAAAGGTAGAAAAACTGAATGTAGTAAAATGTAGCTTCCTGAATCTTTTGTGAGACATACAGGATAATAAGTAGATCAAGTTTTGGTTTTTTTGGGTTTTTTTTTTGTTTGTTTGTTTGTTTGGTTGGTTGCTTGGTTGATTTGGTTTTTCGAGACAGGATTTCTCTGTATTGCTTTGGAGCCTGTCCTGGAACTAGCTCTGTAGATCAGGCTGGCCTTGAATTCATAAAGAGATCTGCCTGCCTCTGCCTCCCGAGTGCTGGGATTAAAGGTGTGCACCACCAACACCCGGCCAGATCAAGTTTTTTAAAACTGATAAAGAACAGAGGTGAGTGGCTGGAGAGATGGCTCAGAGGTTAAGAGCACGGGCTGCTCTTCCAGAGGTCCTGAGCAATTCCCAGCAACCACATGGTGGCTCACAACCATCTATAGAGGGATGTGATGCCCTCTTCTGGTGTAAAGGCATACGTGCAGATATAACATTCATATACATAAAATAAATAAACCTTTCTTTTTTAAAAAGAGAGAAGCTGGGCATTGGTGGTGCACACCTTTAATCCTAGCACCCGGGAGTTGGAGGCAAGCAGATCTCTGTGAGTTCAAGGCCAGCTTGGTCTACAGAGCCAGTTCCAGGACAGGTTACAAAGCAATACAAAGAAATCCTGTCTCTGGAGAGAGAGGGGAGATGAGCAGGAAGGAGGTTCACTAGTTTGAGGACTGCCTGGGCTACATATATGTCTCAAAAATGTATTCAAGGGAGCTCCAGATATAGCTCAGTGGGAGAGCAACAGGGCAGGATTTACCACCAAGGACCTGGAAATAAGGCTCAGCAGGAACAGATAGGGGCTGGGGGTGTGGCTCAGTGGTAGAGCCCCTACCTAGAATCCCTGAGGTGCTGGGGACATGGCTCCATGCAAAAGCGCTCGTGTAACAATGCACGAGGCCCCGGATTCAATCCTTGGTATTGCTTGACATTAAATTAAATAGTAATAAAAAAAAAAAAAAAAAAAAGCCAATCTTGTAACTCCTGCAGCCGGGCCCAACGTGACGTCCTCGGCTTCCAGGGAATCAGCCTGCCCACGAGCATGCGCAGAGTGGCTCCACTCCTCTCCATCATCCAGGAAACACTGCTGGCGCCAGGGATCGATACGGAGGGCGTCCCGGGGGCACACGGGCGTCGCTTCATGAGGACTCGGAGCCTCTGTCTGTCCCCTCCCCCTGCGGCCCTCCCATGGCCTGGCCTTCCCTCTCACTCCTTCCAACCGCCCGCTCCCCCAAGATGGCGACCAACCGCCTCCTTTCCCGCCCGGTTGGCGGGTCACATGACCTCCACAGGCCCCGCCCCCGCGGGGAGGGCCACGCCCCCTCTCCCTAGGCCGCGGGGAGCCTGGCCCAGGGGCGCGCGCCACGAGCCCGGACGGGACGGCGCGCGCCGCGTGCTCGCGACGACGCCGGGCCAGGCACGTGCACGCACACTGCGGCGGGCGCACGCGCCCGGGGCCCGGACCGGGCTGCGCGTGCGCGCGGGGCGTCGTCCGGGCGCCTCGCGGCTGACGGGCGGCCGCTGGGAAGGCCCCGCGAGGCGCGAGGCGCGAGGCCCGGCGCGCGAGCCCCCGGGGGCGGGTAAAACCCGGTTGCTGCTGCCCTTGCCCCTTTCCCCTTTCTCCCTAGCCCTGCCTGCCCGCCCTTTTCCTCTCACCTCGGCCCTTCTTCACCCTCTCCTTGGCTTCCTCTTCCTCCCGAAGCGCAGGCCTCTGTGGCCCCCTGTCCCAGGACGCCGCTCACCTCCGCGTCGCGCACGCTCCTTCTGCACCCCCGCAGCCCCGTCCTCCTTGGAGAAGACTCTTGGGGTGCCCCCAGCCCACTGCACCCACCTTGATTTTCTACCCCGCCCCTGCCAGGTCCCCCAACTGCCCCCTCGCAGCGCCCCAGCTCGCGCCGCGGGCCCTACCCGACCTCTGCGCCTTCTGCACCGCGGCCTTGCATTCGCAGGCCCCACTGCTCACCACCCCCTTCCTCCTCAGGGGTCCCGCTTAGGGGGACCCGGATGTAGCTCTTTTTTTGAGGATCTTCCAGCAGGAACAACAAACTCTCCTCTCTTCCTTGGTCATGCCTCTTCCTGTGCTTTTTCTAGCAAAAATACTATTTCTGTCAGTCAAGATCGCCCCAGTTTCCAGCAAGAAAATAGAACAATAATAATATTATCTAGACGACAATCCCCCCTTTTGGAATACTTTTCCAATTACAAGAAACCAGCTCATTTACTTCTTCCAGTTTCTCTTCTAATGTGTTTGCTTCTCCAAACCTCTCTTCTTAAAACTTTCCCAACACAAATCCCTTTTCATCATCAGTTCTGCCTCAGTTAGATTTTGCCCCCACAAAACCCTTTAGGCTCCTCTTACCTGGCTGGGATAGTGGGGAAGAAATAATTTTTTAAAAGTAATTTTGAATTTTTATCTTTATCTGTCCAGCTTAGTATTGTATCACTTCCTCCCTAAATTGTCTCTCTCCTCAATTTCATACCTATTTTCCTTGTTTGTTTTTGGCTCCCAAGTTCTGACTGTCCCTTCCATGTCACTACCTGTTTTCAGGGCAAAAGCTATTGGATGAGTTTTCAAAAATTACCACCTCACCCTTCCAGGAGATAGTGAAGGTCTGATTCCACCAGAATCCTCTTTCCTGTGGGGCCTAAGCCAGGCCCACTTGTTCCCTGGAGAGTCACTCACTTGCTTTCGGGGTGAGTTTCCTGTTTTTTGTTCCTGTTCAAAGACACCCGCTGTGTTCTGTGCATCACTTTCCAATGTTTGTGACCTTCTCTGCACCAGTGTGAAGACCATACAAGTTGCTGGCAAAATCAAGCAGAAGGATAAGTATAAACACAAGGGAGCCATTGAAAGAGATCCCAGGGCACATGCCAGCTGACCTCTTTTGAGGAAGGCAGACTTTTATTAGATTGAAGTATGTTTTCGTTGTTGATGTTCATTGCAAAACAAAAAACTTTTACCTTTCTTGCTGGTTCATGGTAGCAACTCAGACCCCTACAGAGACAAGCAAGTGAGGGATTATAGTAGGAGAGATTATGGCAATCCAAATTGTGTTCTCTCCATTGCATGATGGCAGCTAGTGCAGATAGCCAGTCAAAAATGGCAGGCCAGTGGGGCTGGAGAGATGGTTCAGTGGTTAAGAGCACTGGCTGCTCTTCCACAGAACCTGAATTCAATTCCCAGCAACCACATGATGGCTCACAACTATCACTAATGGAATCTGATGACCTCTTCTGTCATGCAGGCATCCATGCAAATAGAGCACTCATATACATAAAAGAAATGCCAGGCCAGGTTTGCAAACCCCCTCTCCCCCCCCCCTTTTTTTTTTGGAGATAACACCTCTGGCTTTAACACTGTCTTCATGTGAAAGTTAAATTACTAATGCTAACAATGAATTTAATAGTTTAAAAAATGGCAGGGCTGGAGAGGTGGCTTATTGGTTAAGAATACTGCTTTTCCAAAGAATTTGGAGTCAGTTCCTAGCACTCACATGGTGGCTCATAACCATCCATTAACCCAGTCCCAGGGTCCAGTGCCCTCTTCTGGCACTGAATGCATGTGGTACAGAGACATACATGCAGGCAAACCATACTCATAAATGGTTTAAAATGGCAAGGGAGGAGATGTAGCTCAGTTGTGAGAGTACTTGCCTAGCTAGCATGCATGAAGCCCTCAGGTGGTGACCCCCCAGCACTGCATAAAACCTGGTGTGGTGGTGTACACCTACCCTGCCAACACTTGGGAGATGGAGGTCAGAGGATCAGATGTGTAAGGGCATTCTCTTCTATGACCATGAAATCACAAAGGAGATACATATAATAACCCTGTCTCAAGAAAACAGTAAAACAACAAAAACTAAGAGTACTGATTACACCAATAATCCTAGCACCAAGAAAGCTGAAGCAGAAGGATTGCTGAGAGTTCAAGGCCAGCCTGGATTATAGAGTAAGGTTCTGTCTCCAGAGAGAGAGAGAGAGAGAGAGAGAGAGAGAGAGAGAGAGAGAGAGAAAAGAAGACGACGACAATATTTTTGAGTTGGTTGTGGTTTAATCCCAGCACTGAAGGCAGAGGCAGGCAGATCTCTTAAATTCAAGGCTAGCCTGGTCTGCAAACAATATACAGATTAGGTAGGTAAGTAGGTAGCTAGATAGGGAGGGAGAGAAGGAGGGAGGGAGGAAAATATGTTTGCCCACTGCTGTATTTGAAGTTTTAGGCTTAGGAATTTTGTTAGTTTTACAGTGGTGGGAATCCAACCCAGGGCCCCGAGCATGCTAAGCAAGTACTTTGCCACTGAGCTACACCACCAAACCTAGAGATTTTTATTTTCCCTGTAGGAAATACACTCACAAGGGTAAACATACTTAGAGGACTTTTTCTCTTTAGAGTATCAGATGTTAAAACTTTTGATCTTCAGTAACCTGTTAGTTGGGTAAGGTAGCCTGTACCAATAATCCCCAACTAAGGAGGCTGAGAGAAAAGGATTGAGAGTTAGGTCAGCCAGAGCTCCATAATGGAACCCTGTTTCAGGAACAACAAAAGCCTTTTCATACTTGGGACCTCAGAGGGTTTAATGTAAACTATATGGACTAATATTCTTCTATTAGAATTTCAATTAAGTCACTGAGTGTCTGCATTCAGCCTCCTGAGATATTAAATATATTGAAGTTATTATCGCAAACATTTCTGAATTAATTTTTTTTATTTGCAAATCCATGGTCTTGTAGTGGTGTGCCATGGACAAATCACTAAGTTTGATCCCTAGCACTGAAAAATTAAGGTAGTGGCTGGATCTGTAGAAGCAGTCCAGCCACTCAGGAGGCTAATAATTAAATGTGGTTTGCTGAAAGCTTTATTGTTTGTGTGAAATATGCAGGAGAAGAAATACATCAAGGCAAAAAAAATCTGAGGGAATACAGTGGGCCAGGCCTGTAATTGCTCTGTCACTAGAAGCTGGAGATTGTTTGAGTCTGAAATCAGCTTGGGAAACTTAGTAAGACCCAGTCTTGAAAAAAATGAGAATAGGCTGGGCTTGGTGGTGCCTGCCTTTAATCCCAGCAATTGGAGAGGAAGAGGCAGATAGATCTGTGAGTGAAAGGCCAGCCTAGTGTATGTAGTAAGTTCTAGGCCAGGGAGAACTACACTCTGGGACCCTGTCTTAAACAACCAACTAGAACATTCTATTCTTCATGGCAAAATAAATAACAATGGCACCGTTGCTTATGAATATAAATGACATCTTAATTAAAAACTATATGAAAGAAAATTTAAGTACATAGTATTGAGTTATGTTTCTGTTGTCATGTGTAGCCTCCTATCTGTTTCTTAAACAAATGAATATTATCATAAAATAGCTTTGACCTCTGAACTTCCTGAAAAATTCTTGGGAGACCCTGCATTTACCTTATTAAGAAAAAATATAAAAATAAAAATAAATAAAAGATGCAGTGGGAAAAAAGAAAGAAAAAACATAGCTGAGCATGGTGGCACACACCTTTAGTCCCAGCACTTGGGAGGCAGAGTCAGGGGATGGATCTCTGAGTTCTAGGCCAGCCCAGTCTACAAATTGAGTTCCAGGACAGCCAGGGCTACACAGAGAAACCCTGTCTTGGAAAAAATAAAAAATAAAACAGATGGAGAGATGACCCAGCAGTTAAGAGCAACAGCTGCTCTTCCAGAAGACTGGGATTCAATTCCCAGCACCCACATGGCAGCTCACATGTATCTGTAACTCCTGTTCCAGGGCTTCTACATCCTCACACAGACATGCATCCAGGTAAAATGCCAATGAACATAAAATAAATTATATATTCTTTTAAAAAGAAAGGAAAATGCTATTTTAGATTTTGTTTTGTATCTTCCCATTTTTGAAACAGGGTCCCAGGCTTGAATTCACTGTGTATTCATGAGGATGGCGTTGACCTCCTGGCGGCCCTCTCTCCACCCCCACCTCCCACCCCAGTGGCTGGAATTGAACTTCATGCCACCATACTCTGATTGCTGCTCTAGATGTCAGGTGCTTCCTTGCATTCTTTGCTAGGACAGCTTGTGGGAAAGAAGGAACTTTGGTGTGTCCTTCCCTCCTTTAGTTAACTCAATGCCAGAGTTTTCCTTTGTGAGTGTCCTTCAGATTCCTATGTATCTCAATTCCCTGCCTCAGTTTCCCATGTGCTAGAAATACAGTCATGTGCCACTGCTACACAAGACAAAATCCAGTCTTTAAGTGATCAGAGGCAATGAGTCAGTCCTCTGGTTAAAACCATAATGCTAGAGAAGGAGGTCTTCCTTAATTATTCAACTTCACAATGTAGGTATGGAGTGCAAGGCAAGTGTCTAATGTCATGTGGGCAGTAGTATAATAGAGTGATTCATTGTGAAGGCTTCAGATCAGACTGCTCAGGGAAGGATTCTAACTCTGAATTGGAACAAGTTATTTATCTGGGTTTTCTTTATGTCACCCACGACAAGGTTAATAATGTAGCAGATGCCTCAGAGAGGGGTCGAGGGAACTAAAGATGGCATGTGAGTGATATCAGCAGTACTTGGCTTGTAATAAAACCTCAATAACGTCCATGCAGTTATCATGACAATGATGATTACAAGGGCCTCTTGGGGAGACAAGTAAAGACTATGGGTAGAGGAGGCCATGAGCCCTGACTAGAGAGGACAGCTATCTCTGGCTCTGCCGTGTTGGTCACTGTCAGGGAATGTCAAATCTAATACTTTTCAAGAGATGATATAAATCTATATATGTAGAAGAAATCCTCTCTAATTGTGCTGGGAAAAGAACAAGGGCTTTGCATTTACACCGTGGTTTACCACTGAGATTTATCTCCAGCCCTTGGTTTTTGAGGCAGAATCTCACTATGTAGCTCAGGCTACCCTTGATCTTCTTATGACCTTTGCACCTAAGGACTGGGATTACAGTAAAGTGCCATTGTGCCTAAAAGTAAAAAAAACCAAAATCTCTTCATTAAAAAAAAAATGTTCCTGTTGAATCCAATGAGTGAAAACACTGTATAGGTCAAAGAAAATGCTCTATACTTTATAATAGGCCCTATTTATTAATATGTGGTTTGAGACAAGGTTTCATGTTGCCTTGCTATATAAAAATTGAGGCTGGCCTTGAACTCCTGATCTTTCTACCTAAGCACTGCTGAGACTGCAGACATCTGCCTTCATGCTCAACCTTATTTTAGTATAATTATTTATTTTGAGACAGGTTCTTACTCTATTATCCTGGTAGGCCTTACACTCACAGTAATCTTTTATGTCTCTTGAGAGCACTGAGGTCACAGCTATGACCTGAGCCACCATGTTTGGAGTTATTGGCTTTTATTTTTATGTGAGTTATATTTGTTAATGTAAGTTGTGCACATGTACGTGTTATGTTGCATGATATGGCAAGATATGTATTTTTTCAATTGTTCTCCACCTTTATTTTTGAGACACAGAACCTGAAGCTCATCTATTCAACTAGGCTGTCAGGCTAATAAGATTTAGGGACTCTGTCTCTGCCCCAGCTTTACCCCCTCCATTCACAGGATTGCAGGCACACACCATTTTATGTTCATTTCAAGGATTCACACTCAGGCTGTCATACATGCACAACAAGCATGCACAAGCCCTCTCCTCAGCCTTTGATGGCCTGCCTATCTATCTATCTATCTATCTATCTATCTATCTATCTATCTATTTATTTATTTTGAGACAGGGTCTCTCTGTAGCTTTTGGAGCCTGTCCTGGAACTCACTGTGTAGACTGGGCTAGCCTCAGATTCACAGAGATCTGCCTGTTCTGCCTCCCAAGTGCTGGGGTTAAAGGCGTGCACCACTACTGCCCAATTCATGATGGCCTTTTTTAAAAGAAAAAATAATAACATTGCTTTGGATCCCCAGTGTTGAAAGAAATTGTTTTCTAAACTATTCTGCAGGGCATTCATGATTATAAACAAGGCATAGGTTCTAAAGCTCATAGCCCTTATGCAGCATAAAGCTAAAATTAATTTGCAAATGAAATGCAAACAAGGCAGCCCAGCCAGTTTAATCAGATTGCAAAAAATTAATTTAAGGAGAGGACAGCTATCTTACTGCATCTTTAATGTTCCTAGAAAGGGTTCCCTTGCTGACTATCTTGCTGGCCCTTTTTGGCTTTAGGGAAGATCCTGTGGTGTCTGAATTCTCTAACCCCTTTTCTCATTTTTAGGAATGATTCATCTTGGCGGGGCAATAGGCGCCCAGGCCTTTAATTCCAGCACTTGGGAGTCAGAGATAGGCTGATCTCTGTGAGTTTGAGACCAGCCTGGTCTACAGATCCAGTTCCAAGCTAGGCTCCAAAGCTACACAGAGAAACCATGTTTCAAAATACAAAAACAACAACAAAATGTATCTTTGTGCTTGTATGTATGTGCCCGCGTATATTGGTGTCCATGGAGGCCAGAAGAGGTCATTGTGTCACTTGGAGCTCAGTTAGCTAAATCTACTTGCATCCACCTCTTCTTAGCCTGCTGCAGTCAAAATAGTGCTTTCTGGCCAGAGGGCAGAAACAGACTGCCTCCATAGAGCTTCCTTCTCAGGGTCATTCAGTGATCCATGTATTCCCAGGCTTTTTCCTTTTAGATTGTCTTTAGAGTCAAGGTCTCAAATTTCTTAGAAGGCGGGACCTGTAACTAGTGATAAAGCACTTGCCTAGCATGTACAAGGCCCTCCAATTCCCACCACCCCCACCACATCCACACATGCTAAAGTACCTGTTGGATTAATTTATCTGTTGACTGAATCGGATGTGCTCTACTGACTGGAAATGGCCAGAGTGGAGCCTGGGCCTTGGGCCTTACCCTGCCTGCCTGAGTCTCAGAGCAGACTGATTGTTCTGGGCTCAGGGATATGTTGAAAAGCAAATGCCATCCTGTGTGATGCCCCAACCCTGGGTACCTTACATGCCTGTTGAGGTTTTTGGTGGTGGTCTTTGGTCTGGAACTCTCTGTGCAGACCAAACCAAGCTTGACCTTGCTCTGATCTCACCTCCCTCAGCCTCCTAAGTGCTGCCACTGCGGTCATATGCTACTGGCTGGCTGGCTTTGTGCCCTCTAATTTAATTGGAGCACTGTGGTGGTTGGCTTTTGTTTGGGTTTTAAAAACACATGCCCTAAAATCAGCTATCTAGATTTCAGGTCTGGCTTTTCTACCTGTTCTCTAGTGGCTCTGGGTTAATCCTTTAATCCTTTAGTTCTCCAAACTGTTTGGTAGGAGTGATAACAGAATTACTTGTGAGTTAAGTAAGTGGTGAGTTAAATGCTTAGAAAGCCCCTGGTTCCAAACCTGACTCAAAGAAAGTGCTTAACAGGAGTGATTTTTAAAATATAATTTATGCATTTTTATTTTATGTGCAATGGTGTTTTGCCTGAACATATATCTGTGTGAGGGTGTCAGATCTTGGAACTACAGACAGTTTGATACTAGGAATTGTACCTGGGTCCTGTGGAAGAGCAGCCAGTGCTCTTAATCACTGAGCCTTCTCTCAGGTCCCCAACAGGAATGGTTTTTATGAGCTTGTTTTTAACTGGTTGATGAAGGGGATGGTGTCCCTTCTTCCACTGCTCTGTACAAGCTGCTCAGCAATGGTGGGGAGAGATCCCTTTCAATTATAGGTACACCTCTACTCTGCTTTTCAGAAACCCAGAAAGCTCTCAGAATCTGGAAGCATCTCAAGTACCATTTAGTTTCCAAACTTGAGCCACGTGGTGCTGTTTAACATTGCCTTCTAGAATGCCACATAGGTGGGGTCATACAGTATGTGGCCTTTTTATGCTGGCTTTTATCAGGCCCCTTCATGCCTTTGTGGCTTGATAGCTTATTGTACACTCCCCAAATTTGTTTTATTTTACATGTGTGGGTAATTTGCTTCCATGTATGTCTGGGCATACCTGGTGCCCACGGAGGTCAGAAGAGGGCATCAAATCCCCAGAAACTATAGTTGTGGATGGTTGTGAGCTGTCATGTGGGTGCTGAGACTCAAACCCAGTTCCTCTGGAACAGTGGTTCTTAACCTGTGGGCTGTGACCCCTTTGGGGTCACATATCAGATATTTACATTACAATTTATAACAGTAGCAAAATTATAGTTATGAAGTGGCAACAAAATAATTTTATTGTTGGGGGTCACCTCAACGTGAGGAACTGTATTAAAGGGTCACAGCATTGGGAAGGTTGAAAACCACTGAGCTGTAAGAACAGCCAGTGCTCTAAAGGACTAAACCATCTCCAGCCCTGCTTATTGCCCCTTTGTTTGTTTGCTTGTTTGTTTTTGAGACAGGGTCTCACTCTGTCACCTCGGGTGGCTAGGTAGACCAGGCCTCAAATTGATAGAGACATTCCTGCCTCTGCCTCCTGAGCACTGAGATTACAGGTGTGCACCACTATGCACAGCATTCTGCTTCTTACATTTTCTTTTTACTACTGAATAACAGAAGGTGCGGACAGTGCACTCTCCATTTATCCACGGGAGACTCCTGGTAGCTTCCAGGTTGGACACCTGTAACTAGAACTGTCATGAGCGTGTGTATGCACGTTTGTGAGTGGTGATGCACTTTGAACTATACAGACTGCTTCCTGGGAGAGCAGCTGCTGGGTGGTGTGTTAATAATTGTGTCTATCGCTGTGAGAAACCTAAGGATGGAAGCTTTTCAGTCCTTATCCTGTAGCGCACCATCACCCTAGCTTCCTCTCTGGCTTTGGCAAGTTAGTTCTTCGCCCCAGACTTTAGCAGCTGCCCTCTCACAGCCCATCTCCACCCTGAGGAGTTTCCAAATTAGACAAAATAAGAACAAGACCTTTGCCGTGGGCTTTCAGGGATCCAGGAAAGGTCAGATGGGAGGCTGTGATTCTTTAAGAATAAATTCTACTCTATTCCTTCCAGCACCAGGAACCCGCACCAGAAACACAGCTGCCTCTTCAAGAACACTGCTGAGCCAGGGAGTGGGATCAGCTAGGGTAAGTTAGGGCATTGCAGGAGCTCTGCTCCTCCCAAGGGTCACCACCTCCTTCAGAGGTCCACGAAGGGCTGCAAACCTCTCAGCGTTACTCAGAGTTGATGTTTCTGTGATGGGATAGATGGGAACTACTAACTCAATATTTTTCCTTCTTCCCCCTTTCTTTTCTCTACCTCTCCTCTTCTTATGTTTCCTTCCTTCCCCTCCCAGTCTCTCCTCTCTCTATCCCTTTCTTCTTTTTCCCCCTGTTCTCTGTTCTTCTCTTGTGTTTCCTAGGCCAGTCTTGAAGTCCTGGATTCAGGGGCTCTTCCCACTCAGCCCCTGGGGTGCTAGGAGTATAGGTGGGCACCATTGCACATTCTCTAACCTATAATTTGCTAAAGGATCATTCATGTATTTGCTTCTTTTTGACTGAGTTTTTGGTAATTTGTCTATTTTGAAGAATTTGCTCTTTTTTGTATCTGAGTTGGATGACTTAAGGTAATGAGTATGTATTGTAATTGATCTACTGTGTGGATCAGCACTGTCTACACGGTTCTTCATAGTACTTCATTTAATCCCTTTTAATTTTGGAAATTTTATTCATTTTTGGAGGGGGGCTGAGATAATGTCTCATGAAACACAGGCTGACCTCAAACTGTCTATGTAGTCTTACCTCCATCTCCCAAGTGCTGGAATTACAGGCATGCCTGGTTTATGTGATGCTGGGAGTGGAACCTAGAACTTTGTGTGTGCTTGGCAAGCATTCTGCTAACTGAGCCACGTTCCCAGCCTAACCTCACCATTTAATCTATATTAAAACTTTTTTTTTTTATACCAGACTTTTCCAGCCCAGACTCTTTTACATATGCAGCATGTCTCCATTTGGGCTGTGGTATTTCATGTGTCAGCTGGCCACAAAGGACAAGTGGATAAGCAGCTCCAAGCTTAAGCCCACACCTGAGTGCCTGCACATCTAGCTTTGAGTTTTCTTGTGACTGGCGCTTGGGGTTTCCCTTACTTGTCTTTTCTGCCTGGACATGCCCTAAAGTCTATCTGATCTCTCCTCTGTTTACAGCTGGAGGGAGGGGGACTCTACAGTCCACCATGTGCTATTCTCCTGTCCAGTCTACACTCTGGTTACCACACCTACCACTTCTCAATTCTGATTCTTCCTTGCTTATTTTCAGGAGCTGGCTGCCAGCAAGTGCTCTCCCCTTCCTGACTCTGGACACGGCCTTGCTTGTCTGGAGACAGGCTCTGGTCAGGACCTGGCAGTGGAAATCTATGGAGCCATACAGCCTTGGGGAGGAGGGGGCCCTTCCATCAGAAGGGCACCTTCCTTCCTTCTCTGAGAGTCAAGGGCTCAACTGCAGTGACACACTCAACCGGGACCTGGGTCCCAGCACACGGGACCTGCTCTATGCTGGCCTAAGTGGTTTGGACCTTGACCCCAATCTCTCCACATCGGATATGCCCAGCGAGGTATTGGAGGACAATCTGGACACTCTGTCCCTGTACTCAGGGAAGGACAGCGACTCTGTGAAGCTGTTGGAAGAATATGCAGATTCTGAATCCCAGACCTCCTTACAAGGTGAGGCTCTTCAGGGACAGCACCCACAGTTCCTCCAGCCAGCCAAGGATGGAATCTCCTAGCACTGGCTAGGAAAATTCTCCTCTTTAACTGGGCCTGGTGATGTGAGCTCATAATCCCAACATGTAGAAGACAAATGCAGGAGAAACACTATAAATTCAAGGCCAGCCAGAGCTACATAGTAAGACACTGTCCCCCAAAAAACTGTCCCCTAAACTAAAGGGAAGGAAGGAAGGAAAAACAAAATAAAAAGTCTGCTTCCACGGGAGGCTTTTGTACTACTTTGGAATTGTTCCCAACTTGTGAAGGAAAGGGAGCACTGGTCCTAGGGAACAAGATGGAGAAGAGGGTATGCAGGCAGACCATCAGGCTTATAGGAGACTTTCCTGTCATTGCTGTACCTCAGTAGCATTTTTCATTTTTCCAGATTGAGTGGGATCCTGTCCATTCTGCTCTGTGCTTGTCTAACTTTTCCAGGCCTCGTGTCCTTATCTATAAAGTAAGGGGACCCCGGTCCTCTCCTGCCCTCTGCCCCCAAGCAGCAGTGGTGAGTGTGAAAAAGGGAAACACGGCAAAAGCCTCAGACCACAATGTACAGGCAGGTGTGAGGGGCTTGGCTTGTTTCAGCTTTGTCTTTCTAAAGAGATCTTGGCATCTTTTCAGAACGCTGAGGCTCCAGCAGACCTTTTGCCTCAGTCTGTCCAGGAGCCAGGACTATATAGGCTGTGCCACCATGCCCAGCTAGCTGTTTGTTCAGCCAGTACTGGATACTGTCAGTAATACTTCATGTCAAAAGTACTCAGTTCCAAACTTTTCTCTTCCGCTGTGGAAGAAGAAGGGGAGAATTAGTGAAATAATTGAACAGCTTGAGTAAGTCTCAGTTTGGTTTGCAATTGGCCTCCTATCGAGGAAAATTCTTTTGCTTTGGGTTTGATTTGGTTTTGACCCTCTTTATTGGTCCCTGGCAAGTTGCTTCAATGGGTTGACTGGGCTAGAGCTCCTGAGAGTTTATATAATCACACCTTTCTCCAGGAAGTCCACATGGAAAGGCCAGTCTACAAAGATAGTAATCTGTTGGGATTGTGTCTGAGAAAGATCCTGAAGGCCCCACTCCACAAAAAAATGGCCAAGCAGTGCCAGGCCTGTGTCGGTGTTGTACTGATGGCAGAGCAGTAAGTCTTAGGATGATGAACGTTCACAGGGGAAGACTGCAGCACTGGCCAGGCCCATGGGTGTGGTATGGCACTCAGCTTGGGCCATGGCGATACTGAATAACACATGTGTTCATTTTGCTGGGCACAGAGCCCTAATTGTCACGTTATTCTTAGGGTTCTGCTTAGTTTAACCTTCCTTAATATTCAGCTATTATACTGCCCCCTCTCCTCCACACACATACATTAAATTTCAACTCCATGCTTTTGTGCTTTTGAAACTTAAATTTAGGTTCATATATGTGAATATGCTTCTGTCATTTTCTTCCTTTTTGTTTTTGAGTCCAGGGTCTCACTCAGCTAGTGACCAAACTAGCTCTGGCTCAAGCAATTTTCCTGCCTTAGCCTTCTGCATACCTGGGACTTGAGGCATATACTGCATGCCCAACTTTAATTCATTTTTATTTGTTTATTTGAGACAGATTCTCACTGTGTGTCCAGGCTATCCTCAGACCTGAGTAATCCTTCTGTCTCAGTTTCCCGAGTACTGATGACTACTGGCATGAGCCACAGCTCCTGGCTATATTAACTTTTTAAATTAGAAAAGTAAAATGTGCTGGGAGGTGACCACTCAGTCTTTCAATCCCAGCACTCAGGAGGCAGAGACAAGCAGATCTCTAAGTTTGAGGCCAGCCTGGTCTACTCTACAGAGGGAGTTCCAGGACAGCCAGGGCTACTCAGAAAAACCCTGTCTTGAAAAACAAACAAACAAAAAAGTAAAATGTATTTATTATAGAAAATATAGCAATAAGCAAGAGAAAACACATTTAAGCCATTTACTGCATACATAAGTACTTTGTTTGCTTTGTTTTTTTTCCTGTATTTTGTTTGTTGTGTGTGTGGGTGGGTGTGTGTGTGTGTGTGTGTGTGTGTGTGTGTGGTGGGGGTACTGTCCACTGTGTCTCCCAGACTGGCTTGAACTCAGCAATTCTCCTACTTTTAGCTGGAATTACAGGTATGCACCAATAGGTCCAGCTCATAAGTCTTCAAATGCATGGGTAAATTGCTCAAATATATGCTATTCTATAGAGTTAATACATGTGAAAGGCACTGAGTTCCAGTCTCCAGCAATATGCTCAGCCCCATGCATGATGTGATAGTGCTTGATGGTTTGAATGGTTGGTGTATTTGGATTCCTATGTGGGACTGAATTCATGGTTATTGTCTTCAGTGTTCTAGTATGTTGTCCAGTCAGTCTTGTTGGACTGTTGAAGTGTTTCTTTGAACAGCTTTGAAAATATTTTATTCATGTGTATGTGCCAATGTCTCTGAGTGTGTATTCCACATCTATGGAGGTGCCTGTGAGGACAGAGTAGGGCATTGGAGTCCTTGGAACTGTAGTTACAAGCAATTGTGAACTGCCTGCTGTGGGTGCTAGGAACTGGGCTCTGGTCCTTTGCAAGAGCAGCCAGCAGCACTCTCTCTCTCCAGCCTTGCAAACAACTTTTTACATACTGATCATTTTCTCCTGGATTAGTTTGCTGAACATTCTGATCACAATTTTCAGCTTCTAGAAAGCTCGGGTGACTGTCTAGGCCAATGACTTTGCCTGGTTTGATGTCCTTGTCAGCTTTGTTTTGATATAGTTTGTTTTCTAGTTTTACAGTTGCTTTGATGTGTACTTAAAGCACCCTTTCAAGACTGAGGTCTGTACCCTGAGGGGAGCCTGGTATTTCTTTTCTTTTTGTCCTTCCTTCCTTCCTTCTTTCTTTCCTTCCTTCCTTCCTTTTTTTGTGGTTGTTTTTTGTTTTTCAAGATAGAGTTTCTCTGTGTAGCTTTGGAGCCTGTCCTGGAACTCACTCTGTAGACGAGGCTGGCCTCGAACTCCCAGAGATTCTCCTGCCTCTGCCTCCTGAGTTCTGGGATTAAAGCCATGTACCACCACCATCTGTCAAGATTGTGGTTTTTCTTGTTTATACTTTTAGAGTTGTTCAGTGACTCACCACAGTGATTTTTCTCCTTCAGTCTTGTCTCTCTCTGCCCCTGGAAATAGGACAGAAGCAGTCTGCTCATTCTCCACATGCTGACCTTTCTAGTACTTGAAGACACCTCCCTTTCCCACCTGAATGCCTCCAGTTCCTTCAGCTGATCCTTAGGAGACACAATTCATAAAAATACTGGCTATCATTTTACCAAAGGATACAGAAAATGTGGGAAAATCAGACACATACAAGGAGGGAATATGGGTAAAATCAACCCATCTCTCTACCAGTGAACC